TGGCAGTGCACCTCAGATCTTTGCGATTTAAAGCTCTAAGTGGCACTACAACTGTTATGGATAGGCATGTAACTTACCACCAGACACACAACTTGTTCATCCTGTCACTTGATATCATAAAAAAACATTGTTTGAAAATGTAACTTAACACGATTGGTCATGTATGATAGAACTTATCGAACCAGATATTCATTATCACGCTAAATGGGCTACAAAGACTCATGTTTTTTTGGTAAGAGCACTAGTGAGTCTCGCTTTTCGGCCTTTGTCCAGAACGTATGATCCTAACTATGTCACTAAGCGCAATCATGGCTTATTGCTTGAGACGTACAACAAGCTAGAATGATCGTGTGAGGGAACGGAAAATGCAGCTCGCGTTCCGGGCATCGTGCCACACGAACGACTTTTTAAGCCCACTATTTGTGGAATTCTAGACGTAAGGTGCCTTTGCAATCGACCAAATGCACAATGTGGATCTCACAAATCTAGATTTTTTATGTCAAATATATAATTAAAAATAATGTTATTGAAAAGATTTCATTACAATGCAAATGTAACAGATTCTTATTATACTAACTAGATATTATTATAACTTATCAATTCTAAGAGCTTTCTTATTATTATAAAATGCAAATTATGTTAATATTGTAATTACTTCTCAATAATTATTGTCATGGGCTTCTGGAACATCTGTTCTACTTATGAAAAACAGTAAAATTATTGAGTGTTAGTATTAAATACAGTAAATAAGTGGAAAGTCACACTTGTAATTTACAATTTAGTAAAAATAGAAGTTTCCGTCTTAAATAAAGTTTAATAAATTAATTACTTTAATAAACAATACCCATCACCTGAGACATAAGTTGACAAGTCCCATTTGCCTGTAATTTCACCAGCACCCTTACCATTCCAAACCGAAATACAGTAATGTGAGACATCGTTGCTTGGCGGCATAAATAGGTAAGGTGGTAGTCTTCCCTGGTCAAACTCTTTCACAAGGAGCTCTCCTGCTACTAAAACTACCCTATTCAAAGCACTTACATATTATCCTACTTTTACGAACATTATATATCACTCAACATATCTCCCAACAAAACTTGTACACGACGTACCTGTTCCATTTGATTTAGACCTATTCTGTAAGTATACAGAAAGAAAAATATCTTCGATCTGACACGACTCGAGCGTGCGTCTGTGTCATACCAGGGCGACCCCACTACCAAACTAGAGCATAGTTTCGCAATGTGATCTCTACCGCCACTCAGTGGACGCTGAAGAGTCCTAGGGACCTAGGAAACATTTGGGGACGTTGATTCTGTCCAGCGGGTGCCACCGTATTTGAAAAAAAACCTGAATTATCTATACCTAATCTACACTAACTACATATACAGGGTGTAAATTTGGAACGCACGGCAACACGAAACGGCGGCAACGGCAACAAGACCCGCTACCTTAATCGCTACAGAAATCGCAAAAATCTTTTTACCATACATTTTGTAGGGACATATTTAGTAATCAGTTATTATTCTAGGTAGCTAAGGAAACTAACAAATTGACAACGCATTATGTATTTCAAAATAAAAACAATAACAAAAAGCAAAATAACATACAAAAATCTATAATAGTAAGTGCTCGAATTGATTGCCGCCTTGGTGAATGCATCGATTCGCTCTCTTCCGCAAGGAGCAAGTAACGGCTGAAATTTTAGTCGAATGGATTCCATTGAAAAATGCTGCAAGTGCGTCTTTCAATTCTTGAACACTGTTGTATTGTTTTTATAAATTTAATTTTTTACATAGCCCCAAAGAAAAAATCAAGGGGCGTCAGATCAGGACTGTGCGGTGGCCATTTGATAGGACCATGTGTTCCAATTCATTTGTTTCCACATTTGAGAACATTTTGATTAAAAATCGTATTAAAAGTCACAATTCTCTATTAACAAAACAAAACAAAGCTGTTCCAAATTTAAAAAATAATGATGTGATTATATATAATTTTTAGATTATATATTATAGTGGCCAGTTTCTTTAGTAACAAAAACTTTACATTTAAAAAGTGTGGTAAAAAGTTCTTTGCGATTTCTGACATTTCGAGTACCTCCACCACCTCAATTGGACCCATAGAGACTATTTGATCTTTAATAGAGACTGGATCGAATAGCATAAAAAAAAAGTTTTGTAAAAATTGCCTCTTATCTTGCTGCCTGTACCATTTTTTCAAAATCTGTGAATGCCAAAATCTGTTTACACCCAGTATATATAATATTTTTCAGTTTTTTTTTTTAAGTTAATATGAAAAATACATGTTTTCAGTTATTTTTTTGTGGTGGTAGGTGTTGAAATTTTTTTATCTTGTCCTAATCCTAAGTGGGCGGTGAGCAACAAAGTTTGGGAACCTGTGCACTACACATTGTTTCTAAACTACAATTATCTAGTAATTGCGTATCTCTGATTCAAGAACAAATTTAATCTCAAGGATCTATGAATAATCCGAGCAATAAAATATTTAGATGAAAGTGAAAATATCAAAATTAAAACAAACAATTTCATTGTTCATTACGTGAAACATTATTTATTAAAGACACTAAATAGTGCGATAACTGGCAATTAATTTACCGTAACACAGCCTCGATTTGGTATACGGGATTATTAGATATATTTTGACACATGTGTGTATGACAGAGCCCTTTGAATTCTGAGATTACTGGGTCATTATGGTTGTAACAGCCCAATTATGTTACTATAGAACAGTATTACGTAAACAGATATGGTGTAAATTGACTCGTGTATAATTAGCTAGTATACGATAAGATTATGCTTTGTGATGTGCTTTTGTGTACTTTGACGTATATTGTAAAGTTTACCTGTATAAATGTGAACTATTTTCCTCTACCGACTCACGTGGTAGGGACCGGTAGGGTATAGTCTCAGTGCAGTCTTTCCTGTTAAACGAAAAAGGGCAGTAAACAGCTCCGTAAATTAAAAATGTTACTGCGTTATATTACTGCGGGTCGTATAGTTTTACCCGATTATTTTCATTAAATTTGTGGGTCAAAAATGTAAATCATAACCAATAATATAGATTAAGCTGATTCCTACAATAAGGTAAAAACGTTTATCTACACACATATCATAACCCCTCTATGATGTGTTCAAAAACCGCAAATTAAGATAAACTGTTTTGTTAGAACAAATTTCTTATCTGTAAATATGTTATTATTGCTTTATAATAACATCGAATTCGATTTTATTATGACATTCAAATTTCGAACTTCTCTGAAAAACAAAACAATTTCATTCGACCTCAATTCTAATATCAATCAAGATGAAGTTTTATTCGAAATGAAATGTCAATACCAAACAATTTTGACAAATTTCACACGTTACTTTATAGCGAACGATACGATAGTTGGGGCCGACTCTAGTTTATCTATAAATTAAATAAAGACCACGGTTGTGTGACATGCGGGAGAAAGGTTTTTATTTGCAGCCATTTCTTCAGTCGTTACATGCGATTCCTGAGCACATCATAGAGAGCTTATAATATCTGTATAGATAAAGCAGTATATGTAACTGTACTTAATTAGGCATTAAAACACTCATGTGATGATTTTATGAAACTCGCCTGTCGGCTCGTTTCATAAATCCACACTCGTATTTTTATCCCTTTCATTATGTAACAGTCACATAAACTATTATTATCCACACACATATCATAAACGCTCTATGATGTGTTCAAAAACCGCAAATTACGACCAGCATAAAGATAAACTGTTTTGTTAGAACAAATCTCTTATCTGTAAATATGTTATTATTGCTTTATAATAACATCGAACTCGATTTTATTATGACATTCAAATTTCGAACTTCTCTGAAAAACAAAACAATTTCATTCGACCTCAATTCTAGTATCAATCAAGATGAAGTTTTATTCGAAATGAAATGTCAATAGCAAACAATTTTGACAAATTTCACACGTTACTTTATATCGAACGATATGATAATTGGGGCCGACTCTAGTTTGTCTATAAATTAAATAATAACTACGGTTGTGTGACATGCGGGAGAAAGATTTTTATTTGCAGCCATTTCTCCAGTCGTAACATGCGATTCCCGAGC